GGTGGGGGGAGGAGTCGGAGGCGCGGGACGGCGCAGAGCTTTGTGACCGGGGGTTATCTGTGACGCCGCCCGGGGATATGGGGGCGCGGGGGGGGATCCGCTTACTGAAACCGGCTCCCCATCCCGCAGCCCCCACCACCGGCGAGGGATGGCCGGCCGTGCGCCTCGCGAGCTCTGCCCGGAGACTGGAGCTCTCCGTGGCCGCTGGCGGGGACCCGCATCCCCCGAGACCGGGGCTGGGGCGCCGGGCGCCTCTCCCCGCAGCTCTCAACTTTTGGGATCCTCCAGCAGCGCGGGCGGCTCGGAGACCGTGCCGCGTGCCCCTCGGAAAGGTCCAGGCCAGACCCAAAGGCATCCGAAGAAGAAGGAAAAGCACCAGCCACCCCTCCTTTCCGCCTGCCTCCCCCCTAATCCACACGCACGGGGAGGGGGGAGGGGAGCAGGTGGCCCGCTCCCCAGCTTTGCAGGAACGGCGCTGAGCCACCATCATTTCGCCTTCGCCCGGGGTCTCCGGCGCGCCCGGGCCCTCCCCAGAAAGCCCGCCAGGCCCTAATCAATCACGTGCGTTCATTCGTGCCTCACACAAGCCGTCATGTTATCCCAGGCCGACAGGGGAAGAAGGGGGTGGGGGTCGCCTCGTGCAACCCCAGCCAAGCCCGTTTTCCTTTTTCTCTGTCTGGTTAACCCTCTGGGGGGAAAAGCACCCTAGGAAAGTAGGAGCTGCCAGTCTCCTTACAGCGGGACCTGGGGAAGCCCCTGGCAGCTCACAGTTAGCAGAAGTCGTCCTGCCTCGTCCATCCGTCTCCAGCCCCGGTGTGCAGGGAACTGGCGCTTCGCTCCGTCTCTCCCTGTACTGCAGATATATTTTTTTCCGTTCGCGTCTCCGCTACTCTGTTCTGTTTATTAGTATGTAAGACGGTGCTACTCTGTAAACATCACACGCGGCCCCAGAGCCGTTCGAACAGCCGATTGCAGCGCCATGCTCCCCAAACCACGGTGGTCTCGATTTTTTCTTTTTTGAATGCCAAAGAAGGAAGGAAAAAAAAAAAAGAAAGAAAGAAAGAAAGAAAACGGCCAATGTCCCTGTGCAGATGTGCATGAGGCTTGCACAAGACACGCCGTCCATCTCCGCGGCGCCCCATTCCCACCCACACCTAAGAAATAGAGCGACAGATGGGAGAAAGTGCCGTCCACGTTTTCGGAATAAAACATTAAAAATACCTGACGAAGTAAAAGCGGAAACGTTTGCAGCCGAGGCTGATCAGCCTCGGCTGGGCAGCGCACAGCAGCCCGAATGTTTCGAGGGCTTAAAACAAACAAACAAACAAATAAATAAATACACCCCCCCCCCAGAGACACACGTTGAAACGGCACCTACCTGCGCCTGGGAGCAGCGGGTGGACGGGGAGTGCTCTTTTTACGCATCCAGGTTTTCCTGGGAGACCGGGGTGCGATTAGGGAGGGAGTGTGGACTGCAGGCGCCTCGGCTTTTGCTCCGACCCCAACGAGATGCGCCCGGTCCGGAGGAATGTCAGGACCCCGCGACCCCGGCTCCGGGAGGGGAATTCGTGGCTTCCGCCGAAAATCGTCTCGGGGTCGGGAGGGAAGCGGCCGCGCAGTGGGAAGAGGATGGGCAGAGCGAGCTCTGGATAAGAGAGGTCTGTGCTCAGACACAGCCGGCTCTGCAAGTCGCGGCTGGAGGCAGCAGCGGTCCTGGGCTCTGCCTGCTCCCCCTCTGCTATTGGACCAAACTGAATGAAATTCACCGAGCCAGCAGCCAATAGATGTCGGCGGTCGCTCCAGAGCCCTCAGCCACAGCCACCGGCGGATGCGGAGAGCAGCTAATCCCAGGGCAGACCGGCCGGACCCCAGGGATTCCCGGGGCCCCGGGGGGTGAAACAGGTGAGCACCGTCGCGCCCTCAGCCGTCCTGCCGGAGGCGCACGGGGAAGCTGGCGCCTGGATTTCTCTGCGCCCCGCAAAAGCCCTCCACAGCCAGCGCGCTGCAGTCTGTGCGAACGCCTTTAACTCTTTGAGATCGAGGTCCCTCCCGGGCAGGGCCTGCCCGGTGGTCAGGCTGACACATGTGTCTGTCTTCCTGGGTGTCATTGTGCTTTTATATCCGGAATCAAAGATATCTATTTCGGGGGCGGGGTGGGGGGGGGAGCATAATTAGTATAAAGATCTT